TCCTCAGACCTGTGAGTGGGTGGAGGGAAGAGGCAAAGAGAAAGGAGGGGGGGCTGGGAGGGGGAAATCAATTGCTGGACTTTGTGGGGACCGATGTTGAGGTGGGGAGGGAGTTTCAGCAGCAGGAGGGGAAGAGGCCTGCTCACAAGAGGAAGACTGGGGAGGGGTATAATGAGCATGAGAGGAGAGAGGCCTCAAACAGGAAGAGCTCCTGGCAGAAATGACAGAGGAGGAGAGCATCTCGACATTTCCTGTCAGAAAGATCCCATTGAAATGATGTGTATTTACTGTGGTTTCTTAACTACACACTGGCTGTGTCTACATTGGGGCGATCTTGCGCAAAGCCGGCCACTTTTGCGCCAAAACTTGCTGCCTGTCTACACTGGCGGGGAGTTCTTGCGCAAGAACACTGACGTTCTAATGACATCAGGGCTTCTTGTGCAAGAACTAGGATGCTCCCACTCAGGAATAAGCCCTTTTGCGCAACTGTTCTTGAGCAAGAGGCCCGTGTAGACAGGTGGTTCCTCACTACTCTGCACTTGCAAGCACCACTACCCTGCCAATCCCATGAGCTGCAATTCCTAGCCAATGGGAGCAGCGGAGGAAAAGCCTGCGGGTGAACACTTCCCTGTGCTGCCATTCCCCCAACTGGGGGTGAGGGAGAACAGCAGTCCACAAAATCGCTTCCTCCCCCTGCCAGGTAGCAAGGGCCATACAGCAGCCTTAGCATCAGCTTCCCGCTGCATGGTCCCTGAGCCTCACAAGCCAGATCAAGGGAAGCCAGGGATCTTGGGCCCTAGGTTCCCCACCCCTGTATTACACCCTGGTTGTGACTAGACTGGCCAGTTTTTCTGGAAAATCAGCCGCTTTTCCGGAAAAACTTGCCAGCTGTCTACACTGGCTGCTTGAATTTCCGCAAAAGCACTGACTTCCTACTGTAAGAAATCAGTGCTTTTTGCGGAAATACTGTGCTGCTCCCCTTCGGGCAAAAGTCCCTTTTGCGTGAAACTTTTGCGCAAAAGGGCCAGTGTAGACAGCTCAGATTTGTTTTGCGCAAAAAAGCCCCGATCGTGAAAATGGCGATCGGGTTCTTTTTTGCGCAAAAGTGCATCTAGATTGTTCACGGATGCTTTTCCGCAAAAAGTGCTTTTGCGGAAAAGCATCCGTGCCAATCTAGACGCTCTTTTTTGAAAATGCTTTTAATGGAAAACTTTTCCGTTAAAAGCATTTCCGGAAAATCATGCCAGTCTAGACGTAGCCCCTAGGTGGTGTGGTCACCACACACCCAGACTCCAGCCCTGGTGCTTGGGCAGGCAGTCAGGACAGTTGCTACCTGTGATGGGGTGGACTAGTCCCTGACCCCTCCCTACTGGAGGCTTTGTGGTTGCTCCAGAAAAAAGGGCAGTAGAGAGGTCCTCCAAACAGGCTAGAGTGGCTGCAGGGGAAGCAGCCATTCAGGGGCCAGGAGGGCCATATAAAAGGATCTGCAGAACAGAGCAGAAGTTAGTTGCCAGGAGTGAAGCCTGGGTGATGGGAAAAGTAGTAGTTCTACAGACAGTTTAGGGTGGAGAGCTCACAGCAACCAGAACAGAGCCCTGAGGTGAGGGTACAGCTGGTGCAGGGCTGCGGGGAAGTGGGCCAGGGAATTAGAGCAGCTGTGGAACAGTCATAGCATACAGCTGCTATCTACAAGGTCCCTGTGCTGGAGCTCAGAGCAGAGAGTGGGACTGGGGACCTTAACCCCTATCAGCCATTGGGGGAAGTGGTCTGAACACTGAGACATCCTGGGGGGAACGGGGGAATTGGACTAGAGTGGCCCATATAAAGGCAAAGATTTAAAGACATAGTCTCCAATGAAGAGCCCTGGGGCACCACTCTCATCTGGAACAGGGACACACTGATTTTCTTGTAAAGTTTTATTTCAAGGTGAATGCTTTCTCTGTGTACATGTTCTTTGGGTGGCGTGTGTAATGAAAAGGAATATAATTAAAATTTAGTGCAGGATCAGTCCCCTCATTTATTACCTAAAGTTAATTGGAGTTTTAGCATTAGCTTCAATGGGCCACAGTTACATTCACTGGGTTTTTTCTTTTTTTCATATAAAATTTCTGTTTTCATAGTCACTGTGAAATGCATTCTTCTCTTATATGACACATTTCAGTAAGTTTACACTATTAGAACTATAGGCAATAATTCACTTTTGTTTTTGACAAATGTTATCCAGGTTATTTTCAAAGAGCAATAACAATCTACACATTTTGAGCAATGACTTCTGTGTTTAATAATTGTTAACTTCTAATTGTCCCAGAATAAATATTGGCTTGATAAAAGCCATTAAGGCTTTTGCAGATGTCTTATGCAGACATGTTTTATTTACAGTAGATGTATGCCTTGTAAATCACTCTAGTTAAGAAACTAATTTTATGTCATATCTCCACCTGCTCCGATTAGCAGAGGGGAAATGTTTCCACTTTTGGGAATGATTAGAATGATCATTCTTAGAATGATTCCCTTGCAGTGTCCCACCAGTTCCATCAAAGTCCTCAGAAAGACATCAAGAAACTGTCAAAGCAAGACTGGCACTGATTGATGTGGCACCATTTCAATTTTTATGAAAATATATTTTTGAATATGAATATGCATAACTCAGTTATGCTTTATGCAAACTGGGGCATATGACATGGCACTCAAGCGCTTGTAACCCCCCTGAATGCAGTCAAAACATTCTTGTCAAAGTATGACCCAAATTGAGGCTATTTAAGCAGAATAAACCACACTTAACAATGCACAGGTCTTGTCAAAGGTAAGATAGGACATTTTGAGCTATGTGCCTAACTTTCATGAAAGCTTTTGAAAGCCTGTCCACACACAATCAATAGAGATCAAGTTTCATGTACATTAATCAGATCACGTATAAAAATTTAATTGCATAAATGGGAACAATAAATGTAACAGGACAAATAATGTTAAATAAAAAAAAAATCCAAGGGGTGTCAAGCATGAGAAGTTAAGTTTTTGGAATATTATGAACTTAAAACAGACTATCTGCAACCCCCTTTACCAGCTGTATTGGTGTTTACAAGGCTGACATTTTCCTTAAAACATGTAGATGGTATCATGAGCTTCTGTGGGCACAACCTACTTCTTCAGATGAATGGAATTATTAAAGGTCCAGTTTCTAAATAAAAAATGATAAAAACTGGATAAAAAACTGAATAAAAATTTTATTTCTAAATAAAAATGGGAAACTGGACCTTTAATAACTCCATTCATCTGAAGAAGTAGGCTGTGCCCACAAAAGTTTAGATACCATCTATGTGTTTTTTTAGTCTCTAAGGGTATGTCTAGACTACATGGCTCCGTCGACGGAGACATGTAGATGAGTTTACTAGACATAGGAAAATGAAGCGGCGATTTAAATAATCACCACTTCATTTACATTAAAATGGCTACCGTGTTGTGCCGATCAGCTGTTTGGTAGCACAGCGGGGAAGTCTGGATGCGCTGCGGTCGACAAGGGAAGCCTTTGTCAACAGTATTCCTCGTGAAATCACCACTTCATTTTCCTCCATCGATGGAGCCACGTAGTCTAGACATACCCTAAGGTGCTGCAAGACTATTTGTTGTTTAAGTTTTTCCAGTTACAGACTAACTTGGCTACCCCTCTAAAGCTTTTGAATATTTGCCTTAGTGCTCCTTGGCTACTTCTAGACTGGCATGATTTTCTGGAAATGCTTTTAACGGAAAAGTTTTCCGTTAAAAGCATTTTTGGAAAAGAGCATCTAGATTGGCACGGACGCTTTTCCACAAAAGCACTTTTTGCGGGAAAGCATCTGTGCTAATCTAGACGCGCTTTTGCCCCGATCGCTTTTGCGCAAAACAGCACTGTGCTGTCTACACTGGCCCTCTTGCGCAAATGATTTGCGCAAGAGGGCTTTTGCCTGAATGGGAGCAGCATAGTATTTCCGCAAGAACACTGACAATCTTACATGAGATCGTCAGTGTTCTTGCGGAAATTCAAGCGGCCAGTGTAGACAGCTGGCAAGTTTTTCTGCAAAAGCAGCTGATTTTGCGGAAAAACTGGCCAGTCTAGACACAGCCCTTGTGAGTAACACACTTGGCTGTAATTCAGAAGAAGCTGCAAGAAATACTAAAGCCATGGGGACAGACACATTTCTTTAGCATGCTGATCACTGGCAGGGGATCTATTTGAAACAAAATGACCGTAGAGGTTGCTTTAGTTTCCTTAGCCCCTCTCAACATGTAGGCTAGTCTGCACTAATGGACTGATGTGGCTGACAAACAAAAGGCATGAGATGGAGACAAATCGACATTTCCTTAGGGAGGAGAGGCAGTGAAGAATGATCTGCATCACAGTATCCCAATGGGCCTCACCTTCTTCATTCTATAAGAAAGAAGGAATCTTCTGAAAGAGGGGGATTTTCCAAAATTTGGCTCAGTGTAGACGGGCCAAATTTTGGAAAAGCCTCTTCTGAAAAAAAAAAAATTGGAAAAAGCTTTGCTTTGCCCCCCCACCCAGCCAAAAAAAAAAAAAAAAAAAGCTGTAGTGTAGACCTCGCCTAATAGTCTCAGCTATACCTTAACCAATCATTCTAGTGAAATTTAACTAGCCAATCGTCACATATTATAGCATGATTATCTAATCAGGTATATCCCATTACCATTTATACCCAGAAACATTAATTATACATCAGACAGAAACAATCAAAGAATCATACAAAGGCAATACAGAGAAACAATAGAGAGGTGGGGAGCATGACAACAAAATTAAAAAAGAAATGAGAATTTCATAATCCCAAATACTGATAAGTTATCCTAAACTCATGAACATAAGAACAGCCACACTGGGTCAAACCAATGGTCCATCTAGCCCAGAATCCTGTCGGCTGACAGTGGCCAATACCAGATGCCCCAGAGGGAGTGAACGCAACCGGTAATCCTCAGATTATCCCTCTCCTGTTACCCATTTCCAGACAAGAATCAAGTTGGTCCTTGCCAGACGGAAAGTATCAGCCTCATTTTTCTTTAAATCTTCTAGGCTCTTCCCTACATCTGGAGGTGATTGACTAGATGGCCTTTCTCATAGCCCCAAATTGCCATATTTCATTGGGAGAGGTCTGGAATGTGTCAGGACGTGACCGCATGTTTCCCAGCTTATGGCTGTCTCTGCTGTTTAGGCAAAGGCTTCAGACTGTCTCATTCAGGCAGACTGTGGTTTGTTCCTTTGTTTTAATGCCCTGTAATTAGCAAAATGGTAAGAATCTAAAGAACAGGCCTTCCAAGCCCTAACATCTCATGAGGGATGAGGAGCACTAAGGCTTTCCCACATGCAGAATACTCTTCCCCAGAGCTTCTCTGAGGTTTATTAAGGGCTGAGCTCTCACGGAAATGTCCCAAATTCAGGGCGTTTAAAGAGTTCTTCCCTGTATGGAATCTCTGGAGGACAAGGACTGATCCCCCACAGAGGCTTTCCATGCCCTTAGCAATTCATAGGTGTGACGTTATCGGATGTTATGAACATATATAACATTGTTGCAACCCTTGTTATATGCTTGCACCAAATCTTCTGCAAAGTGGGCCTAGTGAGATGACTTCAGAAACCTTATGATTTGTTGATTCTGTTTGTGATGGGGAGGTCAGAGGAGACCCCTTGGGGGTGCCTCCCAGAGGGCTGAGAAGGCCACTGACACTCACCTTCCTGCTCTTTGGAACGTCTCACCACTCGGTCCTGCTGGGCCCACAGCCAAGGCACCGAGCTGAGATCACTGCCCCCTTAGGAGCAAGTACAGACACTAAGGGTACGTCTAGACTGTTTCCTCTTCAGAAAGAGGAAATGCAAATGAAGCACTGATTAGCATATTCTCTCACTTCATTTGCATATTCTCTTCCGACCCTTTTTGCAGAAGGGATTTTTCACCAAAAAAAAGCAGTCTAGAGGTGGCTTTTTCATGAAAAAAACCCCTTTTTTTGAAAGAACTCATAAACCTCATTTTTTGAGGAATACGGGTTCTTTCAATAAAGGGTTGTTGGTTTTTTTTTGCAAAAAAGCCGCATCTAGACTGCATTTTTTGGAGAAAAACCTCTTCTGCAAAAAGGGTCGGAAGAGGATATGCAAATGAAGTGTCACATATGCTAATCAGAGCTTCATTTGCATTTCCTCTTTCAAAAGAGGAAAGCGGTCTAGATGTACCCTGCATCCCTTCAGGTCCAAGTAAAATGAATTTTAGGGCCCAGCTTTCCGGGATACCACTCCCCAGATCAGATCAGAACCCCAAATGAATAATTTAGGTAAGCCCTCTTTAACAATGTAAGAGGGAATGTACACACTGATTGCTCCCCTAGGTAATAATTATTTACACTGGGTTTGATAGAAAATAAAAGTGATTTTATCAAGTACAAGCAGTAGGATTTAAGTGGTTATAAATGAAAACAGGCAAAGTAGATTACAAACTCAAAATAACAGAAAACGCTTAGCTAATTCTACACTGAAACCTCAGTACAAACTTGTTACAGTTTCATTACAAACTCACCCTTAACTGTTTCTTTTCCAGCTCAGCCTTCAAACCAGGGAAGCCTCCTTTTCCCTGAGGCCTTTGGTTCATTCCCCTGGGTGTGCCAAACAAAGACCCCCAACTCCTAATTTCCTATTGTTTTTAGTGATTCCCTTTTTGCGAGTGAAGTCACCTGGCCAGTTGGGGTTGACATGTGATATCCCCAGACCAACCAGTGCTAAGACTTACAGGATAAAAGACATTTTTTAACAGCTGGTCATCAAGGCATTGAAGGTAACACCTGTGATGGCTTTCGTTCATACATTTAAAAACCATAAAGCATTCCACACTCCATATGTCTAATTTTACACACAAGAGTGATACATACACCAAAATAAGACAAACAGATCGAGCGGATTGAGACATGAAGATTGATAGGTTACATGAAACCATTTCTCCAAAGCATCTTTGAGTTATGCATATTTGTGTGAAACTCCATTTCATAAAGCATGAGGGGGGAGATCCAACACACTGTTCACACTTCTCATAAACGTGTATCATTTTTGTATTTGAAGTTATGAGTATGAGGTTTGCCAGGTGTCCGATAGTGAACCAGACAGTCCAGTGTTTGGACTTTGTGTCCGGTAAGCAAATAGAGAAAATGACGGACATATAAATGTCTGATATTTTCTAATTAAGGAAGTTTTTCTGCTTTTCCCAGGCCTGACTCAGTGCCCGACAAAAGCCTGCTAGGAACACATGGCAATTAAAGGGGCCGTGACTGCATTTCAGCCCAACCTCCCACATCCCCACTCTCCAGCGCTTTTTTTTTTAAATCTGGTTTTTTTTTTTAAACCATCTGGCAACCCTAATGGCTATGTACTTGTATTTCACATGTTTGCTTGGAGCTTATGAACAAGGTTCACTCAGCTATCATGAAAGTGTCACTAGTCAAATGAATAGCAGTACTTGTCTGACAATCCACCTCAATCTACAGCTGGAGACTTTGCTGTATACCTTAACACTAGCATGTAAGCCATGGCTGTTGGCCTAAAAAGGATTGAGTTATGCATGGACAGTTGATTTGCTCATGTGATAAACTCCATTTTGGGAAGTACTTTCACATAAGGGCTGTGTCTACACTGGGCCACTTATGCTGGAAAAGCAGCCGCTTTTCCAGAATAACTTGCCAGCTGTCTACACTGGCCCCTTGAATTTCCGGAAAAGCACTGACGATCTACTGTAAAATTATCAGTGTTTTTCCAGAAAAACTATGTTGTTCCTGTTGGGCCAAAGTCCTTTTCTGGAAAAACTGTTCCGGAAAAGGGCCAGTGTAGACAGCACAGTAGTCTTTTCTGCAAAAAAAATCCCCGATCGCGAAAATGACGATTGGGGCTTTTTTGCGGAAAAGCGCGTCTACATTGGCCACAGACGCTTTTCCGGAAAAAATGCTTTTCCAGAAAAGCATCCTGCCAATGTAGACGCGCTTTTTCCGGAAATACTTACAACGGAAAACTGTTCCGTTTTAAGCATTTCCGGAAAAGGGTGCCAGTGTAGACGTAGCCAAGGAGAACAATGGATTTCCCTCCACCTGGGCAAGGGTATAAAGAGAGCCCTAGAGGTTCCTATGATTTTATCTTCATTCCATTTCATCACTTCCGGAGCATCTTTGCTATGAATTGAGTCCAAAAGGACTTATGACCCAGCCTAACAAAGGGGCTACGTATACATTGGCCCCTTTTCCGGAAGGGGCATGGTAATTTTTGAAATCGCAATAGGGAAATGCGCGGGGGATTTAAATATCCCCCGCGGCATTTAAATAAAAATGTCCGCCGCTTTTTTCCGGCTTTTAGAAAAGCCGGAAAAGAGCGTCTACACTGGCCCCGATCCTCTGGAAAAAGCGCCCTTTTCCGGAGGATCTTATTCCTACTTCAAAGTTGGTGAGGGACCTTGTAAAAGGCTTTCTGAAAATCTAAGTATACTATATCTACTGGATCCCCCTTGTCCGCATGTTTGTTAACCCCTTCAAAGAACTCTATCTTATTCCTACTTCAAAGTAGGAATAAGATCCTCCGGAAAAGGGCTTTTTTTCCGGAGGATCGGGGCCAGTGTAGACGCTCTTTTCCGGCTTTTCTAAAAGCCGGAAAAAAGCGGCGGACATTTTTATTTAAATGCCGCGGGGGATATTTAAATCCCCCGCGCATTTCCCTATTGCGATTTCAAAAATTACCATGCCCCTTCCGGAAAAGGGGCCAATGTAGACGTAGCCAGGATGTATCCCAGAAATGTTTAAGATAGTTTATTCTACTTCTGCTACAAGCCTGCACCGGGATCTTTGTAATCGGTTTATATAATTTGTTTCTATTCATAACCTCTCATCTGTGCATGGTGTGATGCTGGTTGTGGCACAGGAGAAGCTAACATGTCTAAGGGGATTGCTTGTGTGTATTCTTGCAGCAAACAGCACTCTTTATGATTGGTTTGGTGTGCAGTATAGTGGAGGATCCTCCCCATCTTGGGCTGTCAATAGCTCTGTCTTGACCCTCTCAGCAGTACCCCCAGAAAAGCTGTTATATTACAATAGGGTGTCTCTCATCTTTAGGTTGTTCAATATAATAGAAAGCATGAGCAATGACAAACTTCTGCTTGAATAATATGTCACATTTCTCACCTGACATATTCAATGAAGTATCAGCTTCAGTGTAACGTTTGGCTAGCCAGAGCAGATGTAGGGTTTCTCGCCTGTGTGTGTTCTTTAGTGAATGATATTTGAGGTACAACTGAAGCTTTACCCCCATTCAAAACAGTCAAAAACAGGGGTGGAGAACCTTTTTGGAGTTAGGGGCCACTAACCCACCAAGATATTAGTCAGGGGATGAACAAAAGTGAGAAGCACACACACAAAAACCTGCTTGCCCAGCTGTAGCCACCCCTTCCTCCCTAAAGGAATCCCTTCAGGGAAGGGGTTTCCCTTCCCGCCAGGGACTCCCCTCTCCTCCTTCCCTCCTGGGCCCTGCATGCCTCCATAATAGCTCCAGCCCTCTGCAGCTGCCGCGTGTGTGTGTGTGTGTGTGTGGGGGGAGGGGGGGGTAGTAAGCACAGAAACAGTGGAGCTCTTGTTTATTCAGGAGCTTCGGCACAGAGCTTTCCCACCTCAAGCCCGCTCTCCTGAGCATCTCTTCCATGTGCAGGAGAGGAACTGGAAGTGTCCGGCCCATGCTACAGGAGAGGCTGGGGGAAAATTTTAAAACTGCCACAGGGACCCCCTGCTGCATTTCATGGCTGCTGGACTCTCCCCCATCCCTTCAAGAGCCAGATTAAATTGTTTGACAGGCTGGACAGTCCCCACCCACGATCAAAGGGTTTCCCTCCTCCCGCTATGGATTCTCTGATGTGTAATTAGGTTTGCGTTCTGACTGAAGCTTTTCCCACACTCAGGGCAGCTGTAGGGTTTCTCCCCAGTGTGGGTTCTGAGATGATTAACAAGATGCGAGCGCTGACTGAAGCTTTTCCCACAGTCAGAGCAGTCAAAGGGTTTCTCCCCTGTGTGGATTCTCTTATGTCTAACAAGTTGTGAGCTCCCGCGGAAGGTTTTCCCACACGCAGAGCAGTTGAAGGGCTTCTCGCCTGTGTGGATTCTCTGATGACTAATAAGACTTGACTGCCGCGGGAAGCTTTTCCCACAGTCAGAGCAGGCAAACGCGGTCTTCTCTATGTGGATCCTCTGATGTTTAATCAGCTGTAGGCTCCCACAAAAGCTTTTCCCACACTCAGAGCAGTTAAAGGGCTTCTCTTCAGTGTGGATTCTCCTATGTCTAACAAGGTGTGAGCTCCTAGTGAAACTTTTCCCACAGTCCGAACAATCAAAAGCGTTCTCCCTTGTGTGGATTCTCCTGTGTCTAAGAAGTTGTGTGCTCCCACAGAAGCTTTTCCCACAATCAGCGCAGTTAAAGGTCTTCTCTCCTACGCAAATTCTCTGATGACTAATTAGACCGGAGTGCCTACTGAAGCTTTTCCCACAGTCAGAGCAGTCAAACGGTTTCTCCCCTGTGTGGACTCTCTGGTGTGTCACCAGGTGGGCATTCTGACTGAAGCTTTTCCCACAGTTAGAGCAGCTAAAGGGCTTCTCTCCTTTGTGGATTCTTCTGTGTCTAACAAGGTGTGATCTCTGACGGAAGCTTTTCCCACAATCAGAGCAGTTATGTGGTTTCTCCCGTGTATGTATTATTTGATGGCTAGTAAGGCCTGAGCGCCAACTAAAGCATTTCCCACAGTCGGAGCATTTGAAAGGCTTCTCTCCTGTGTGGGCTCTTTGATGTTCTATAAGAGTTGCAAGCTGAGAGAAGCTTTTCCTGCTGTCAGAACAGTTGAAACTTTCCTCTCCTGAGTGAATTTTCTGGTGTAAAAAAAGGATCATTTTCAATCTGAAGCCTTTTCCACATTTATCGCAAGTGTAGGGTCCCTCTGGATGGGGAATTTTCTGTTGAATAGCTTTTGTATTTCTTTTCACCCCTCTGCTCCTGTGAGTGGATTTACCCTGTCCCTCCACTGCACAATTTCCCTGCTGCTGTCGTAGGCTATGCTGACTCTCACGGGTCTTGTCAGGACTCTGAGAAACATGCTCTTCAGATCTTCCCAGAAACATGCCATGTGGAGTCGTCCCTCTGGATGGGGAATTTTCTGTTGAATAGCTTTTGTATTTCTTTTCACCCCTCTGCTCCTGTGAGTGGATTTACCCTGTCCCTCCACTGCACAATTTCCCTGCTGCTGTCGTAGGCTATGCTGACTCTCACGGGTCTTGTCAGGACTCTGAGAAACATGCTCTTCAGATCTTCCCAGAAACATGCCATGTGGAGTCTGCTGAAGACTCTCCCCCTTGTTCTCACTCGCCATCCCATCACCTGCTGGGATGGAGAAAGTACAGAGAATGACTCCTGTCTGAATTCTGAGCTGAAAGGAAAACTCTGAAAGGGGAAGAGAAAAGGGGGAACATACCCAAATAATGACTGGAAAAGTGAATAATCATGAGCTGAGTTCATCCTTTTCCTCCACAGCCCTTCCCCAGAGGAGAGACCCCATCCCTTCCCCCTCCTGCCCTCTGACTGGAGCTGAAGACAGGCTGAAGTGCATTTTCATCAAGGCTCACTGACACAAGCAACACCTCGTATGAGGACACAGAAATTGCTTTCTGAGTCAGTTTAGTGGATTGCTCACCGTTGTGGATGTGTCTGATGATTTCTCCTTCCTCAAAGCCCTGGAGCCCTGGGATCCACAGCTCCTCCCCTTGCTCAACCCAGGAAATCACATCAGCTTTGGAGATTGGAAATCCTGCTCGGGGAGCAATTAATCAAGTTCTGATCTTGTTCATTAAGATCTGTGCCATTACTACTTCCAGACCCAGCATCTCAATCACTCACCTGGAGAGGCTCCTTCCCCCTCTTGCAGAGACTGAGCTCCGGCTGGTACAAGATTCCAGGACACACACATCTGCAGCAAAGATGCATCCCCTCCACATACACCCCAGCCTTGGGAATGGCCCAGTTTATTCCCAAGGGGAGCCGAGCGCTCTGCTACACTATCTAGGGCAGTGTTTTCCATTTTTATTTGGCCACAGAACCCTTTAAAACTCGAAAGAATTTTGCAGAACTAATAACAGTCTAATATATGGAGCTGAAAAAACAGACCACAAATAAGTAAGTATAATAATAAACAAATGCTAAATAAGGTCATGAGATCAATATTTAGATTTAAAAACAAAAAATCGCAAACAGTAGAGTCTCGATTATCCAACCTAAATGGGACCAGAGGATGGTCGGATAAAGGAAATGTCAGATAATACGGAAAATTCTTTTAATACAGTAATTAATTTTATAAATTTGAACTTTGTAATACCTTGAGAGGTCCAGTTCTAAACCTCCTGAATCTGCTGCCTTGACCAGCCCTTGTATTTCTCCCCAACCGGGAGTAAGATCCAGGGCTCTGCCTTGCGGCGGGAGCACAGCCTTTGCCATGCACCACTCCATGTCCCCTAGCGATGATGTGACGCAGGCAAGGTGCTTGCTGCTTTCCTCAGAAACAGGAAAAACAGGGGGAAAAAGCTACTTTGCTGATGGTGAATTCTTCAGCCACAAGAGGGAGCTGCAGACCTGCCAACCAGATCTCCCGCCCAGCCCTGGAACAGGGAAAAGGGAAAACAAGGCCATTGTCCAGTCTCCCTGGAGCCCCTTGCCATGATGTGATGGGCGGTACGTTGGATAACACGGCATGTCGGATAAACGAAGGTCAGATAATTGAGACTTTACTGTAATATTAATTTTTTAAAAATCATAACATGTTATTGTAATGGAATTTTCTCCTGGAACCCTTATTTTCACTTTGCTGAACCCAGGGTTCTGTGGAACACCATTTGGGAAACAGTGCTCTAGGGTACAACTCAGTCGCCCCTGTGGCCTGTTCCATCCCCCCTTCCTAGGGTAGGACAGGAACACACTGCTCAGGATATGAGCTCTAGTGAGGTCTTGCAGGTCTGACACCAAGACCCACAAGCAGGGCTCAGACTGCTGCTGCCACATAGCAGGTCACGAGGACTTGGAGAGAAAGCCTGTGTTGGCTGTTCAGCTGCTCTCGTGGGGCAGGGGGGGCTTGTAGTCCCCAGGTGAATGCCCTATCCCCTAGGTCACTCAGTAACCCACCCCATCTCTTTATCTTCTGGGCATCCCTTATCCTGCCGAGCCAGCTCTTGCTCTAGGACAGCTCTAGCTCCCCAAGGGCTCTGTGCGCAAAGCTCCTGGCTGGGGGGCTCGGCTCGCCCGGTTCTTTGGCTCAGATTCCCTTCTTGGTCCAGGAGGCGGTAGAGGAAGTTGTCTGAACGGTGAGATGAATCCTTGGCTGGACATGTCAGACCCTACCTATGCTGTAGACCAGTGTTTCCCAATTTTATTTTGGCCACGGAACCCCTAGTTGCCTAAAATTAAAATAAATAAATAAATAAATAAAAAAGGCCTCTCGGCCATGGCTCTGTCTCTAACAGAACCCTTCGCGGATCCCCAGGGTTCCCCAGACCACCAATTGGAAAACACTGCTCTAGACTCCTGACCCTGACTGCATGTGTGGGCCCTGCCAGCTGCTCACAATAGCTGCCGCTCCCGTGGCTGGCCATGGCAGCATTGGGCTGTGCTGCCTC